TTTTTTTTTTTTTTTTTTTTTTTTTTTTACTTATAATCCATATAACTTGAATTTATGTACCCTTTTGGTTTTAGGATTACATCCATCGAGTAGGTCGAACAGCTAGAGCTGGGCGCTCCGGAAAGGCTATTACTTTTGTCACGCAGTAAGTAAATCAGCTTTAGGGGCAGAGCAACGTAGAGAAAAGAGCAGAACTTTCGAGCCACTGACTGGGAACCTGGCGCTATCATTTACTACACTACTCACTTTCATACTGAAAACCAGGATGAAGGCGTTGAAAGATGGGAATAGTAATACCTATCTAGCAGGGTTTTGGTGAAAATTGGAGATGATATATGTAAAAGATCTAGTATAGTATTTGGCATGTAGAATGGTGAAGTGGTACCTAGAGCTGGAGAGCAATTGTCTTTGTGTCAACTCAGAAAGTATTAGAATAACTATTTCCAATTTTTTTTTTTTTGAGGAACAAATTTTTATGTGCCCAAGGCTGTCCTGTGAATAAATACCTTGAGGGATTTTCTCCCTCCTTCCCTCTTTTTTTTTTTTTTTTTTTTTTTAATTTGTCTCGCTCTGTTGCCTAGGCTAGAGTGCAGTGGTGCGACCTTGGCTGAGTGCACCTTCCACCCCCTGGGCTCAAGCAATCCTCCTACCTCACCTTAGCCTCCCAAGTAGCTGGGACCACAGGTGCATGCCAGCACACCTGGCTTTTTAAAAAATATTTTTAGCAGAGACAGGCTTTTGTCATGTTGGCCAGGCTGGTCTTGAACTCCTGAGCTCAAGTGATCCATCTGCCTCAGCCTCCCATAGTGCTGGGATTACAGGCGCAAGCCACCTGCCTCAGCTTCCCATAGTGCTGGGATTATAGGCACGAGCCACCTGCCCGGCCGATTTTTCTTTCTTTCTTTTTTTTTTTTTAAGCAGCAAGGTTTCACTCTGTTGCCCAGGCTGGAGTGCAGTGGCTCGATAATAGCTCACTGCAGCTTCAAACTCCTGGGCTCAAGTAGTCCTCATGCCTCAACGTCGAATGGCTGGGACTATAGGCACAGGCCGTCACGGTTGGCTAATTTTTAATTTTTTTATAGAGATGGCATCTCACTATGTTGTCCAGGCTGGTCTGGAAGTCCTGGTCTCAAGTGATTCTCCTGCTTTGACCTCCCAAAGCATTGGGATTATAGTTGCAAGCCACCACGCCTGGCCTCCCTGGAGTGATTTTCTAATGGGCTATGCACAGAGATTGCACTTAACCCATACTTAGAAAAGAAATAATATGTTCAATATTGTTTAAACCTATGGCTCCTATTGCGTTGCATCATATAATAATAGTTTGGGAATGGACAGGCATTTGCATTACCAGGCAACCAAAGCTGTGCAGTTTTCCTTCCTCAGGTATGACGTGGAACTCTTCCAGCACATAGAACACTTAATTGGGAAGAAACTACCAGTCTTTCCAACACAGGATGATGAGGTTATGATGCTGGCAGAACGCGTGGCTGAAGCCCAAAGATTTGCCCGAATGGTATGCATCTTTCTTTTCTCACCAGTGTCTGTGCAAACCATGTTAACTGTGTGCCACTTTATCATATTAACCCTCACACTAGACTGCAGAAGCTGGGTATTATTTTATTCCAAATTTCAGATGAACAAACTAAGGTGCAGAGATGGTAGGTAATTTGCATTAGACCATCCAACCAAATGGTGGATTCAGGGTTTGGCCTCATTCTGACATTTACACATTCATGGCAACTGTTCACGTGTCACCTGTGGTGAGATAATTCATCAGACCTGAGGTCAGAAGATGCAGCTGTGAACTGTGTGAGCTTGGGAAATGTGCCTGACTTCTCAGAATCAGAATCAGTTTCTCACCTGTAAACTGGGAATAACACTTGCCTGAATACCTTATGGGGTTTTACAAGCACCAGAGAAGCCAATATAAACTACATAGTTACTAGTAGGGGTTGATCATACCTGATCCAAACATTTGAAATCCAAAACCAAGATCCAAACTTTTTTTTTTTTTGAGACGGAGTTTCACTCTTGTTGCCCAGGCTGAAATGCAATGGTATAAGCTCGGCTCACCGCAACCTCCGCCTCCCAGGTTCAAGCAATTCTCCTGCCTCAGCCTCCCAAGTAGCTGGGATTACAGGCATGTGCCACCATGCCCAGCTAATTTTGTATTTTTAGTAGAGATGGGGTTTCTCCATTTTGGTCAGGCTGGTCTCAAACTTCTGACCTCAGGTGATCCATCCGCCTCAGCCTCCCAGAGTGCTGGGATTACAGGCTTGAGCCACCACGCCTGGCGATCCAAAACTTTGAGTGCCAAAAGGATTGCCACAAGTGGAAAATTCCATGCCTGACTTCATGTGACAGGTTGCTACCAAGACACAGTCAAAATGTTTTTAATGCACAAAAATATTAAAAATACTGTGTAAAATTACCTTCAGACAATGTGTATAAGGTATATATGAAACAAGTGAATTTTGTGTTTAGAATTGAGTCCCATCCCCAAGATAGCTCATTATGTATCTGCAAATATTCTAGAATTAGAAAAAATCTGAAATCCAAAACACTGCTGGTCCCAAGCATTTCAGATGAGGGATACTCACCCTGTAGTAGTAGTAACAGTAATAGTGGTGATGAGAAGATTCTAGAGGAAAACGCTCGGAAGTGCTGCCTGCTTTCTGGAGTTCTGGTCTGAGGGATGGAGAAACTTTGCCCATAGGTGGTTGTTGGAGTAGCTGAGGTACAGATTTGGTTTTTATTCTGCCCACATGGGATTTTTTTGTTTGGTATTTTTGTTTGTTAAAGTATTACATGTGCATTGGGAAAAAAATTCAAAAAATACAGAAAAGATTAAAGTAGTAAGTGAAAAGGTAAACATTTCCCCACAGAAAACCATTGATAACATGTGGTTATTTTTCTTTCTTTAGCCATAATTAGACTTTAATTATATAGGATTAACATTTTTCTGTTTCAACAAATATAGATTCATGTGATCGTTTCTTAACAGCTACAAAGAATTCCATCATGTGTATGAAATACTTACATTCATGGATGCTTATGCTTTTTTCCAGTTTTTTTCTACTTTGGTACAGTGTTGAACTCCCTACTTCGTATAGCTTTGCATACTTACTCCCTTAGAATAAATTCCTAGAAGTAGAATTGTTGGGCCAAGGGATGTACACAGTTAAAATTTGAACTCATACAGAATGCCAAATTGCCCCTTCCCCCAAGAAAAGCTATAGCATATTGCACTGTAAGTGACAGTATATGTGAATTTTTCTACACCTTGGCCAATACTGGGGATTACCCTTCTCTTAAGTCTTTGCCAATCTGCCATGTGAAAATAAAACCTTATTATTTTAATGTTCACGTTTTGATTACCAATAAGGTTAACATCTTTGTATATTTGGAGTTAGATCTCATTCCTTTGCTAATGTCAGGCATCAGGAAGTTACTTGATACTTGATCTTAAGGAGAGGGGAGTAGAATGTGTTACCTTCAGTGCCAGTAATTCGTTTTCAATCCCATCTTCTTTTTTTCTTGCAGGAGTTAAGGGAGCATGGAGAAAAGAAGAAACGCTCGCGAGAGGATGCTGGAGATAATGATGATACAGAGGGCGCTATTGGTGTCAGGAACAAGGTGGCTGGAGGAAAAATGAAGAAGCGGAAAGGCCGTTAATCACTTTTATGAAGGCTCACGTTCTGCTGTTCTGTGAAAGAGAACTGGAGAATGAAACCTGCTCCGACAGAGATCGTGAGACTGAAATCTGTCAGAATTGTGTCCAGAATGTGCTCAGTGAATTCAGTACTCTTCCCCATTCTGGGTTGGAGTTTACTGCAGAATAATTCTTACAGTGCTGATGTCAAGACCGTTACTGTTTTTTCAACTTTGACTCTTTGCTCATGACATGAGTAGGATGTGCTCTTCTGTCACTCACACAGACCTGTTGCCTTTTTTAGCTGCAAGTCGAGGACTAGGTTGATGATGTCCACGACCTGTAATTGTAAAGAAGCTTGGACATCTGCAAATGATATTTAAGCCATCTTGGCTTGTACTTTTTTCAAACTAATGTGAAACAATAAATTTAAACGTTATTTTTAAAAGATTCAAACTCCTTAAAGACCTTGGTGTTAAAGGGCCTTGTAGATTTAAGTAAGATCTTGTTAATAGGTAAGAACCTGACAGTGTTGATTACATGGCACATTCATTGGTTGTCTTAATTAAGATAAATATTTATTACTTAAAAAATCAACAAGGAAACAAGATGATAGATGGCTTTGAAAGGGAAGTCCTACTTGAAAGGAGGTTGTGTTTTTCTTGCAGATGGAGCAAAGTCCATCAGTAAGACAGCAGAGGTCTTTAAAATCCCTAAATAGATTTATTTCCTTCATTCCCTCAATTAAGCAGGTGGTTAGGAAGACTAGTTTCTTACGTAGACTCTTTTTTTTTTTTTTTTTTTTTTGAGACTATCTTACTCTGTCACCCCGGGTGGAGTGCAGTGGTATGACCTCAGCTTGCTGCAGCTTTGACCTTCTGGGCTCAGGTGATCTCCCACCTCAGCCTCCTGAGTAGCTGGGACTACAGGCACACGCCATCACGCCTGGCTAATTTTTATATTTTTTGTGGAGATGGGATCTTGGCATGTTACCCAGACTGGCCTTGAACTCCTGAGCTCAAGAGATCCACCTGCCTCGGCCTCCCTAAGTGTTGGGATTGCAGGTGTGAGCCACTGCACCCGGCCTCTTTCTTTTTTCCATTTTTTGAGATGGAATCTTGCTGTGTTGCCAGGCTGGAGTGCAGTGGCATGATCTCGGCTCACTGCAACCTCCGATTCCCTGGTTCAAGCAATTCTCCTGCCTCAGCCTCCCAAGTAGCTGGGATTACAGGCACTCACCACCACACCCAGCTAATTTTTGTGTTTTTGTAGAGATGGGGTTTTGGCATGTTACCCAGACTGGCCTTGAACTCCTGAGCTCAAGAGATCCATCTACCTCGGCCTCCCAAAGTGTCAGGATTACAGGCATAAGCCACTGCACCCGGCCTCTTTTTTTTGAGACAGAGTCTCGCTCTGTTGCCAGGCTAGAGTGCAGTGGTGTGATCTCAGCTCACTGCAACCTCCAACTCCCTGGTTCAAACAATTCTGCCTCAGCCTCCCGAGTAGCTGGGATTACAGGCACGCACCACCACACCCAGCTAATTTTTGTATTTTTAGTAGAGACAGGGTTTCACCATGTTGGCCAGGAGGGTCTTGAACTCCCAACCTCAGGTGATCGACCCGCCTCGGCCTCCCAAAGTGCTGGGATTATAGGCGTGCACCGCCACACCTGGCCACTCTGCCTCTTATGTAGACTCTTATCCCCAGGTGACAAGAATAAAATCAGTATGCGTCAGAAATGTATAATTATAAGACCTAATTTCATCTACTTGTCATTGGTGCCCACTGGCCACTCGTCTTTTTTGTCCCCATCTATTAGGCGATGCAGGAGATGTGGAGCTGGGGCCTCAGCTCCAGGGGAGGAGGTAGGGCATTGGCACTCTAGGGGCTGGATGCTGGGGGAGGGTTGCTGGAATTCAGAAGCAACTTTGAAATTCCCAATCACGAACAGTCTCATGTTCTGAGGATGTTTACACATAGAAGATGCCTAATACTTTTTGTTGTCTATAACAGTTTTATTAGAAGAGTGTGTCTGAAGTGGCAGAACCAAGGTAAAGAGGGTCTAAAGAAACACTTTGATGGATTAAGATTGGAATGAAGTTTGGCAGAAAAGAAACTTCCCGTATCCATCTAAGTCAAAGTATCTGGTGAGGAGTAAAGAGTACAAAACAGTAAAATTCTCTGTGGTAGTCCAGGGTGGACTGTTCAGTGGACTTCCTTCACTGCAGGAAGAGCTTTGCAAATATCGGTGGGGGGGAGTTTCTACCACGGATGCATTCTAAAATGGGCGCCTGTGGGCAAGGCATTCGCAATGAATTGAAATACCGTGCATGACTTACTTGTTGTTTTGTTTGCTCTGAATTTCGTTGCTGCTTATTATGGTACCTTTGTGTGAAGGATAATTTAGAGGAGGTAGAGACATAAGGGAAAGGAAAGGAGAAAGGGGTACCAGAATAGGGAGGCAAATGGTTGAGCGGGGCGTACCCGTTCCTATTTGTTTTGAGTTGTGCCTCCCACTTGGGACTAATTCTCCATTAACATCGTGTTTTCCCGATGGCACACTCTAGGGTGGCTTAGGAGAGCAGCTCTCTCCGAGTCAGCTCATGGATGCTGTTTCAGCTCAGTGGAGGACTTCAGAAGCAAGCTGAAATGGAACTGGTGTACCAGTAGGGGGTAAGAAGGAGAGATTGCAATCATCCTCAAGGATGTCTCAACTTTCCAAGTAGGCAGTGGTCTCTGGCCTGGGGTTTGTGGACCCCTGAGGAATATGCATATTTCTGGGGAGACTAAAAAGGTTAAAAACCACTGCACTAAAGCTTAACTGCCATCTCTAATGTATGTGCATAATTATGCTTTGCTAGGATGGGAAGAAAGGACACTAGTGAAAGAAATGTGGACGGGTGTGTCTTCAGGTATATTAACAGGTCCAGAGCATGGAGTCCAAAGAAGAAAATGCACAGATGCTATTGCAAAAGGCAGGAGGCACAGAAACCAATGTGATCCACCAGTAAATAAAAACAAGGTGTGTAGGTTTGCTCTATTAGTCATTCCTGTGCTCTCCTGTCCTCTAAGCTGAGATAGTGAGGTCGTGCTGCTGAAACCGTTACGGAAGTATGTTTTAATGTCTTAGGACTACTGAAACAAAGTACCAGGAACTGAGTGACTTAAAATAACAAATTTAGGCCGGGCGCGGTGGCTCAAGCCTGTAATCCTAGCACTTTGGGAGGCCGAGATGGGCGGATTACGAGGTCAGGAGATCGAGACCATCCTGGCTAACACGGTGAAACCCCGTCTCTACTAAAAAAATACAAAAAACTAGCCGGGCGAGGTGGCGGGCGCCTGTAGTCCCAGCTACTCGGGAGGCTGAGGCAGGAGAATGGCGTAAACCCGGGAGGAGGAGCTTGCAGTGAGCAGAGATCCGGCCACTGCACTCCAGCCTGGGTGACAGAGCGAGACTCCGTCTCAAAAAAAAAAAATAAATAAATAAATAAATAACAAATTTATTCTCTCATGGTCCTGGATTTTAAGATGTCCAAAATTAAGGTGTGGGTGGGGCCATGTTGCATCTGACACCTTTAGAGAAGAGTCCTTCCTGGCTTCTTAGCCAGCATTGCCCCTTGGTTGCCTGCAGTCCTTGGTGTTTCTTGGCTGTAGCAACATGACTCCGATCCCTGTCTCCATCTACACATGGCCTTCTACCCCATGTAGAAGGCCTTCACAAGGCCTTCTTATAAGGATACTAGTTACTGGATTTAGGGTGCACCCTAATCCACCATGGCCTCATCTTAACTAATTACATCTGCAAGAATCCTATCTCCAAATAAGGTCACCTGAGGTTCTGGGTTGATATGGCTCAGCTGTGTCCCCACCCGAATCTCATCTTGAATTGTCGCTCCCAGAATTCCCACGTGCTGTGGGAGGGACTTGGTGGAAGATAATTGAATCACGGGAGCGGTTTCCCCCATACTGTTCTCATGGTAGTGAATTAGTCTCATGAGATCTGATGGTTTTACAAGGGGTTTCCCCTTTTGCTTGGCCCTCACTCTCTCTTCGCTGCCACCATGTAAGACGTGCCTTTCACCTTACGCCATGACTGTAAGGCCTCTCCAGCCATGTGGAACTGTGAGTCCATTAAACCTCTTTTTCTTTACCCAGTCTCAGGTATGTCTTTATCAGCAGCATGAAAACAGATTAATACATGGGTAGACATGACTTTTTGTGGGATACTGCTCAGCCCAGTACAAGGCATCTTTGCGGACTCTGCTATATTCTGCGGGGTTTAAGGTTGCAATTATGGAATAGAAATGGTGGGGAGAACTAGTTACAAAGTGTGGAGAAGACGGGAGATGGGTCTTCAGAAGTGTTTGGATAGGTATTAATAGAAGGATAGAAGAATGTTGAAATGTCATTCTCTTAAATGACATGTAAATTGCCTTTGCAGTCAAGATACCAAAGGCTCCAGATTTAGGAGTGGGGAAAGAGGTCCCTGGTCCCTCTGCTATTCCCTTCTTGGTACAACTCCTTAGTTCTGCCTTCCTGATTTAAGAAACTGTGAGCTTCAAAACAATCTTCTCCCACCCTAATTGTGAACAGATACATCTAACTTTTATGACTTAATAAAGGGAGTATCTTGGAATAGTCATGTGGTATCAGCCCAGAGAAAATGTCTTCCTTATTTCTCATCTGAATTGTAAAACTGATTTACATGGTATTCATTGTCTGCAGTTGCAGTAACAATGGCTTCATGGTAGTAGCTAGCCTAGTTTTGCTTCCTCCGTACAGAGCTGAGTGAGAGTGAGAATGAGGAAAACAGCTCTCTGTCTTATGAAGGGGTCCTAGGATCCTAGTGAGAGGGTTTCAACTGGATAGGCTGTTTCAGGCTTAGAGCAGGCCCAGAATTCCAGGGAACTATGAAGAAGTCCTCTAAGGGCACTCTGAGGGGATTCTAGTAGCTAAGAGGGGCCTAGACCCAACTAGATCATGGTTATTCTTTCTCAGTCTCTCAAAACGTGCAATGAATATCCCAGAACTTGGCTGGCTCTTTAAGGACGTCTTGCTTGCAGACAGAGTGTTTTCCAAGTAGCTTCCTGCCTGCAGAGGCATCCACAAACCTAAATCGGAGACTTTATCTACCCCGGAGCCCTCAAAACCCTGGGAAATAGGACCAGAAAGAACCACCAGCTATGGTGTTGGTTACAGAAAATGAAGGGATCCAAGTTATTAAAAGCAGGTAACAAAGCAACATCAAGAAACTATGTCCTTAAAACTGAGAGAATAAAGACATTCTGATCCACATGGTTTGTAGGGTGAAATCTAGCCTCTGGGCAGATAAGAAATCAGGGTGTGAGTCACCCCTCTTTAGCTGGAATGACAAGAGACTCAGACCATAACTCTAGAGATTCAAGGGTTACCCACACCCACATTCCTTTTCATGCCTCACCTGTCCCAGGTATGCACGAAAACTACCGCTAAAAATAACTGCAGAAACTTGAAGTCTGGGAAATAGCACTGAACAGTCTCACCTGAAGTGAAGAGCTGGTTGGTGCCAAGTGCGAACGAGACAGGAAGAAAATGGGCTCCTCTGGAGCCATGGTCTCTAGGAGGTGGGCCCCAAGGTCCACTCAGAGTCTTGGAGCTTTTGTCTGCTCATAGCCATCCATCCCCTGATGCCATCTAAACCCAAAGGATGTCTCCTGTCACTATCACCCTTCAATCATCTGCCAGTGCCGTCAAAGAGGCTGGAAGGGGCAGGAGGGATTGGGAAAGGAACATGTGGGGAAAGTGTAAGTTCACTGTTGCTGTGTGACCTTGTGCAAGTTACTAAACCTCTCTGAACCTTGAGTTTTCTCATTTGTTAATATGGAAAGAAGACCATGGAACCTATCCCTGTCACAGAATCTTTTTTTTTTTTTTTTTTTGAGATGGAGTCTCTGTCACCCAGGCTGGAGTGCAATGGTGTGATCTCAGCTCACTGCAACCTCCACCTCCCAGGTTCAAGCGATTCTCCTGCCTCAGCCTCCCAAGTAGATGGAATTACTGGCACGTGCCACCATGCTGGGCTAATTTTTGTATTTTTAATAGAGGCAGGATGCCATGTTGGTCAGGCTGGTCTCGAACTCCTGACCTCAGGTGATCCATCTGCCTCGGCCTCCCAAAGTTCTGGGATTACAGGCGTGAGCCACCACACCTGGCCTGCCTCACAGAATCTCGAACCTAGTTTTTAAAATTCTGTGTCTTTCCTCCTTCCCTTCCAGTGTCCACCATATCCTAGCCACAGTGCCAGGTACTAGGAAAGCAGTACTGAAGAAAGAGTCAGATGCTATTTTTGCTGAACTTAGCCTTAGTATTGTATTGTGATTGTGTTTCCTACTGGGCAGGGACCATGCCTAGTTCGTGGATATAACTAATATCTTACAGGGCCCATACGCAGTAAATGTTCAATATCTGTCACTTTCTGAAACCTAAGATGTGTCAGGCGGCTTGATCTGTATTGTTTCTAGTTCTTTGAACAATCCCGAACAGTGGATATTATTGTTCCCAGTATGAGCCATGGTGCCAGTTTGCCAAATGGGCCCCTGACTGTGAGACTTTGGACAAGTTGTTCAACCTTCCTGTGTTTCAGTCTTCTTATCTGAAGACACACAGTTATGGTACAGCATTGTGAAGTTTAAATGAACTATATACTGTGGCTCATGATAACAATCAGTAGGTGGTAGTCATTATAATGATCATTAATTGTGGCTATTAGCATAGATGAAGACTGGCAGCATGCCCAGATCATACAGCTGGTAAAGGGCTAAGTAAAAATTTGAAGCCAAAATTGGATTCCAGGCCTGTGCCGTTTACGGTAAATACACTGTTATGTGTGCGTGTATGTATATATGTGTAATTCCGTATTATATTACTCATTCAATATGTTCCACGCAACAAGTAAGTATTATGCAAATGAGCTTTCAGGTTCCAAGCTATTTTCAAATCGGCAACAGGCAGGTAAGAAAATATGACTTTCTTGTTTTCACCAGTAGATGGCAGAAGGAAGAAAAGGCCACTCCGGAGAGGGAAGGAATTTTAATTCAGAGGGAGTGATTCACAGTGGGCTGTGGCTGAGGCACAGGGGCGGATGAGTCAGACTCCTTGTATGACTACAGTGGAGGACAGCCCCACCAGGACTAGGGGTCAGGGGTCTGGGTGGGCAGGAGAACTACCTACAGGTATGTGAAGGGTGTCAGCCTTCAAGAAGATCTAGGTTGACCCAGAGGATGGGGACTGGGAGCCCCGAAGTAAAGGCAAGTTCAGACGCAGTTAGAAAAAAAGGTCACGTTCCCCTATCATCTCTACTGCATGGTCCCTGGCTGTGGGCCCTCCTCGTCAGCTTCCAGACACTTGGTTCTTTTCCAAAGCCTGCCCTTCCCTCTGGGATGTTGATGAAGCCACTTGCCCTGTTTGCTCCTTTCCCCGCCCCCTACCCCAGTCTGTAAGCTAGGAATACTATTTCCCTGCTTCTCCCAATACATGTTGTTTGTGAGCCATTGGCCCCCCTCACTGCTTCCCTCTCTCCTAACTGCGTATCCATCCAGTAGGCTTGGTCCACAGCCCACGCTCCTGTATCAAATAAGCTTGGTGCTGGGTAACCTGTGAGCTGCTTGTTCATTTTATCCTAGAGACGTGTCCTTCAGCCCAAAGTAATGGGAATTGTCCTTCTGGGTCCAAAAGACTAGTAGCAGCAGTCAAGCTTGGTGGTCATTTATACTGGGCTGACTCTCACTGATGTGATGCTGGCTTTTGTCCTCAGACATCTTTTGGGGGAGGAGTCCACTGGTTACTCCTGACATCTTAGAAACCCTCTTACCCAAGCTATTAAATCCAGTGCCAACTTAAAACCAACATCCCTGTGGCGATTTCTGGGTGGGTCAAGAGTGGGGACTGTCCAAAGGTTTCTTATTTGGCATATGTCTATTTGTACATTCGTAATGGTTGTTGGTTTGGTTTTAAATAAGTGATTCTTGGATGGGACGTGGTGGCTCATGCC